GGGATCCTATGACCCCTGCTGACTTCCTGCCCCTGTGGCAGGGGGATGGACTCAAAGTTCTTCTGAGGTCCCTTCCAGCCCTAATATCTAGGAGTCTAAGTCAGCTGCAAATTACAAGACATGAACTCCTCCAGTTGTTTTATTGCCACGGGTTTGTGGTTTGACTACATAGGTTGGACATAATACAGCATGCCCAGTGCAGAAGAATCATTAAGAAAACCAAAGGAAAGCTCTGGGATGAAACCAAAATCAAAGAACCAGGAAGCGAGAAGACATATTTGAGAATGAAGCACCTTCAAGAGCTGGGAGAGACCAAGATGGAAGGAATAGGGACCAAGAGGTTCTTCCATAGATTGGAAGGTGCTTGGGGATTTCATTCCCCAAAACAGCCTAGTTATACATTCTGTATTACATTTTTGGAATACTCAAATGAGCCAAGACAAGTCTGGAAGCTCAGGACAGGAAGGTGAGGAAATATTTTAATACTTTACAATGCATTGCATGGACCATCCAAACAGTTCCACTGAGAGACTCTCTATACACCTTGCAGGCCTGTTGGACCTAATTGACCTTGCAGTGATCCAGAAAAAACCTGCAAGAAATATTTTTAAAGCAACGCCCCCCCCTGTTGATCTGGGCTGTCATTGGGGCTGATCAAGAATTTACACCTCTAGAAGTAGGAAGAAATATTTTAGAAGTAGAATGGAAGAGGCTACTTCAGGATGGAGAGAGTAGTGTGGAAGGTGCTACTTGATAAGTTTGCCTGCATGTTCTCCCCAGACCTTCTCAACATTCAACCACTTGGCTGAGAAATGGACAGCTGTCTGGTGAAACTAGAAGGAATCTATCCTGGAAGAAAATGGACCCAGTGTAAGCAGCCTCACTTTTGAAACAATCCAGCACTTCAGAGGCTAGAGCAAGCTCCCTGCAAATCGAAGGATGCCAAATAGCATAGCATGGTGGCAACACATCCATCAGCAGTTAACTCATTCAAATAGCCAGGTAAGGCCATTATCCTTTGGTACATGTACAGGTTGCCTATAATGTTGGCAGGTAACAAAAATCAAAATACATTAGCCTACTATAAATAACTTTCAGGTTAGAGAGGTGTAGTTAGCTATGTTAGTCTGAAGTCAAGTAGAAGGCAGGG